TGCACAGATTGGAGGTGTGGAGCAGAATGGGGACAAAAGTCTTACAATAATAGGTCATAACTTATATTAGAAAAAAATCTTTACAGAAAGGGTGGTTAAGCATTGGAAAAAGTTGGCCTGTGAAGTGGTAGAATCACTATTACTGGAAGTGTTCAAAAAAGGTGGATGTGGCACTCAAGGACAGGGTTTAGTAGTGGTGAACACAATGGTGCTAGTTTAACAGTTGGACTCAGTGGTCTTAGAGGTCTTTTCTGACCTTAAAGTTTTTATGATTTTATGAAATGTATGTCCAAAGGATCTATTAAAAATCTAACATTACAGTAAATGGTATCACTTTGCTTGAAGGTAGCACGATTTATCAAATATACTTCACTTGAGATTGGTTTAGACTAGAGTTTGGTAGTTAACAATTAGAAAAAAATTTACTGTCTGCTTTTATTAAAGAGTCCTAAAATGAGTTTTTCCCTTTTGATTCTTTTATTTAAAGTTAATTTTAAATTAATAGTGAAATAAAGCCCACAATATTCATAATAAGATTCATAATAGGACAACTGATGCTATTTCAGTTTAGTTGGTCTCTTCACTGTTTTTTTTCTTCTTTAGTTGGTTAGCTTTTTACTGGATTTAGAGACTAAAATGAACCAAATTATTTTTTCATTTTCTCTCTATAGTCTTTGTAACACGACCCTTTGAAACTGTAATGCAGAGTTGTAAATAGCTTTCATGTGAGCCTCTTAGAAAAATGTTATATTCATCATAGCTTGAATTAATATGAATATAATCCTTATTAAACTGTAAAGAAATCATGACTCCTTGATGTAAAATGAAATGAAAAAGAAGGTCTTAACAAGATTTTCAAACTTTTTTTCCAGTTTACTTCTGTGTCATATTAAATATTAAATTTTGTTTTCCATTTGAATAAAATTTTGGAATTTGATATTCTAATAGTTACCAAAGGATCACTAATTTTTTGCATGGATGACTATATATGTTTTGATTCCCCCCAGCAAACCAGCAAAACAATCTATGGCTTCTAGCCCCTCTTTTTTTTTTTTTCTTTTTTTAGGAAGCACTAGTGTTTGGGCACATCTAGAGTAGCAGATAAAATAGAACAAGGTTCTGAACATGAGCCAGCAGTGTGCCCAGGTGGCCAAGAAGGCCAATGGCATCCTGGATCAGGAACAGTGTGGCCAGCAGGACAAAGGAAGTGATTCTTTCCCTGTATTCAGTGCTGGTGAGGCCACACCTTGAATATTGTGTTCAGTTCTGGGCCCCTCAGTTCAGGAAGGATATTGAGGTGCTGGAGCAGGTCCACAGAAGAGCAACCAGGCTGGTTAAGGGATTCAAGAACAAGTCCTATGAGAAGAAGCTGAGGGAGCTGGAGTTGTTTAACCTGGAGAAGAGGAGGCTCAGGGGAGACCTCATCATTCTCTCCAACTACCTGAAAGGAGGTTGTAGCCAGGTGGAGGTTGGTCTCTTCTCCCAGGCAACTAGCAGTAGGACAAGAGGGCACGGTCTTAAGCTCTACTGGGGCGTGGGGGGAGGGCAGGGGGTTAGGTTAGACATTAGGAAGAAATTCTTTACAGAGAGGGTAATCAGATATTGGAATGGGCTGCCAAGGGAAGTGGTGGATTCTCTGTCCCTGGAGGTATTTAAGATGAGAATGGATATGGCACTTAGTGCCATGGTCTAGTAACCATGGTGGTGTTGGATCAAGGGTTGGACTTGATGATATCAGAGGTCCTTTCTAACCTGTCTGATTCTATTATTCTCTGATTTGATGTTAAAGACAGCTAAATCTTGCATGGACTTTTCCCAGTTTTCCTGTCCAGAAATGTCATTAACACAAAGCCTACATATGTTTTATGTTGTTGGTTTGTTGTTTGATTTTTTTTTTTTTTCCTGGCCATCTGAACTTGCAACAGCCCTGGACCTACTGCATGTTTAACCTGACTGAGTGTGACTTCCTGTTGTGGTTTAACCCCAGCCAGCAGCCAAGCCGCACACAGATGCTTGCTTACTCCCACAGCAGTGGAATCAGGGAGAGAATTGGAAAGGTAAAAGATGGAAGACTCGTGGGTTACTTGGGAAGACAAATGCCATCACTCTAAATGTCCCTCTTTCTTCCTTCTCCCCTCCCATTTATATACTGAACATGATGTCATATTGTATGGAATATCCATTTGGTTAGTTTGGGTCACCTGTCCCATCTGTGTCTCCTCCCAGTCTCCCATGCATCCCCAAATTCCTTGCCAGCCTAGTAGTACAAAAAGATGAAAAAGCCTTGGCTCTATGTAAGCACTGCTCAGCAATAGCAAAAGCATCTCTACTATCATCACTGTGCACAGCCTCGTGCCAGACACTGTGAATTAACTCTATCCAGGCCCAAACCAGCTCACCTGTACAATAATTTCAGTAATAAAGGATTTGCTTAGACATACTGTACCTACAGTAATCAGTTGCACAGTACTTTTAGATGAAATTTATATGTACGTGGCATTTCTATGAAAAACAGATCTGTAGAGAGAATAATGGGACAGTAGCAAGGTAGTCCCTGTAGAAGAAACCTTAGTCTGGATTTTCTCAGTCAGTCATAGAGTCAGATGATTTTGACCTATCTATAGGATGAGATTTAGAAGACAATCTTATTAATATATAAACCCTTTGACTTCTGTTTATTAAACATATGAATTTATATTTATATTTATTTATATTTATTTTATTTAGTAAAATTGAAAATTGGGACAAATATAGACTTAACATACATCTTCACACTACATATTCTCTCATTCATATTAATGGATAAAGTGAAGATTGTTCTTTTCATGTCAAACCTGGAGTATTAATAACCAAAAAGTTCACAGTTTTTTAATTTTGATAATTATAATAAAGATTTACCTATATTGAAAAATAAAGAGCAGATAACCCCTAGGATTTTATAAAATTCCTAGACTTTAGAAAAAGTACACACATTTCTTGATGTTTGACATCAGAATTGTGTGGAAGCAAATGCATGCATACATATGCAAGGACTAAGTCTTTGCAATGGGTGACATCTCCGAATCTACAGAAAAGAGCAAGTACTAGTGGTCTGAATCACATTTTTTCTTTGTTTTCATCTGCATTACAGGTGGTTGTAGCTTAATTCATAAAACCTACAGAAACTGGAGCATTAGAAAACATCTTTAGAGAAATATTTATGAGCTATAAAGCAACACCTTTTCTAAGTAACAAAAGGCCCTTTTCTTTCATAGTGGAGAATGAACTGGATTATTTTAATAACGTAGGTTTAAGATAAGCATGGTGCATTGAAGAAAACTACTTACTGAGAAATAAATGGGTTTATTCTAATACTTGCACACAGCGTTAGGTTCCCTGTGATGAGAGTGCCATTGAGAGATCTCCATAAGGTACAAGTAATTAGATTTGTATGGTTGTTTCTCTTAGTGCATGAGCAAACATTTTATTTCATGAGGTATTGCTGGAACATCATTCTATTTAATGAAGGTATGAGAAGTAAGTGGTCATGCATTCTGCATATTCTGTCTACTTTAAGTTACTTAAAAATACTAAGGTGAGTCAGCAAAGCATAAAGAGTGTATTATGATCAAAATACTTTGATGCTTCAATGCATATTTAATGCATTTATTTTAATGCTTATCCACCTTTTAAACATAACATATGTTGAGTAAATTATTGAAATATAATTATTCTTGAAGGGTTGACATAAACATAGACATTCTTGGGTTATCTCTGGAGGGGTGTTGCTATACGTTGGCTAGCTGTCTTTGTCAAAGGATTGAGAGTAAAATGAGTTGTGCTAATACCTGTAATTATATGTACACAGGGATACACGCATGCAGACCTTTCTCATGCCTAGCTAGGCTGTTAAAAAAAACAAACCCCCCAAAACAGACCTTTGCTTCTTGTATTATTGAAAAGAATAGAAACAGAAACCTTTTAGAGAAACAGATGTGCTATTACTGATTATGTCTTTCATTGGAATCACCACTATAATAAGTGTCATAAAATACATCTACTCACAGAAAAATTTTACAAGCTAGGATGTAAGGCATCTTCTTAAGGATATGTTTATGTAATTAATGTCGTGAGATATTTGACAACAAAAATTAAATTACTTTAACTGTGTTTCTTACTAAATTGTGAGATGTTTTTGAAAGAGCTAGTTTAATTTTGCTAGTTCAATTTTTGTACATTGAATAACAATGTTAAAATGTTCTTTTAAAACTTTCCACTTCACATACTTATTTCAATCAAAGATATACAGAAAGTTGCTTCTGCAAAAAATAATAATTAACCAAATCATTATATTATATATAAAATAAAATATAAAAACTTAATTTTAACTTCATTGGAGGATTGTATAGCAAGTCATAACTAAGTATTGTAGGAGCAGGTAACAAGAATCTGTTATGTGTATGGACTTGAGATCACCAAATATTAGTAAAATCCTTTCATTTTCAGTGCCAATTTTCAGGGTATTGACTTTGTCAAGAGTAATTGTAACATTTTCAAATACAATAGAAAGAATATATATATTATAGATATAATATATTATATACAGAAAGAATAGTAAAACATCTTAGATTTAGCATACATTATCTTGTAGAACATAGATAAAAGTATTATCATTTCAGACCTGAAATACTGAATAGATGAAGTACTTCAATACAGTGTGATTATGAACTCTATACATTATAGAAAAAAACCCCTAACTTCTTTTTCTCAACATCAAGATTTTTTTTCAAGTGATGATTTTTTGAACATAAATATTATTTAGTAGACTTCATTGCAATTCACTTCTAATGAATCACACTTTCAGGTTCTTAGTTGGCCTCTCTCCTTCACAACATCTACTTTAGCAGCTAGAAGTGAATGGCAGTCTCTTTGCTCTTTCCATTGTGACTAACCATCACATTTAATTTTTTATGTGAATCGTGCAACCCTTTTCTAAGTTTTTGCATTACTATGTACACTGCATCATTAGATAGTAGATTAATTTGCATGTCATCCTTCTACAGGAGTGATGCTAATCTCTGCATTGTTCCAATTTTAGTATATGTGCAGCTAAAGTGAGCACATGGGATTATTTCAGTTGCTTAGAGTATAGTACCAGGGCCATGGGTTTCATCCCCATACAGGCCATCCACTTAAGAGTTGGACTTGGTGATCCTTGTGAGTCCCTTCCAACTCTGTAAAGGGACACAGTCTGTGAATTATCCGTGAAGCTGCTGAGCAGACACAGCTGACCTGGATATATCTGATTGACAGTCCAGCCCTTTATACTATAAATCAAGCATCTATGCTTTAGTATCGTCACAGCTTGAACATGTGCATGTCCAGTCTAAATCGGACAAGCTTAAAAATACACCTGGAAACTGACTATTAAGCACTCCCTTATTCTCTATTAATTTGAAACATTTCTTCAAAATTAGAACTAGAATTAAAAGCATGGAAGATTTCCCTGAAAACTTCTGTTTACCTCCAACTGAAGTTTATTGACGTCAGGCCTTTTCTATTTTTTTTCATCTTATTTGTGAATGAATGAATGCTGTGATCCAGTAGTCCTTGCCACTCACTGGTCTCTGCTGAGCTCCAGTAGCCTATGACAGCTACCAGATAACTAGTCATATATTGCTTGCTCTTTCTCATGGAAAGTTAATTTTTATAAGCTACTTAGTTCTTTTCTTCCCAAACCACAAGGCTACCATACTCCAGCAGAATCAGTCACATCAGCACAGTTTTGTAGTTCATACTTAATGTAAAAATTGAGTTGCATAACAAAACATGATATATGCTTAATCTTTGTTGTGTCTGTTTTTCTATAAAGTGATTTGTGCAATGTTTGTAACACACTTAGTCTTTTGTTGCTACACGTCACAAGACTGAAAGAGAAAATATTCATATTTTACAAGAAAAAAAAAATCACCAACCAACCAACCCACTCAGCCCTCAAACCGCTCTCCCTCGACCTGCTATTTTAGCTAGTGAGACTGAAAACTTTTTAAAATGTCACAGTGGAGTGAAAAGATCCCTTACTGCAAAGGGATTGCTAGGCATTACATAAGACTTTGTGTCTATCTTGTGCATGGGGAAGGATACAATAGTGCTGAATCAAGGTGCTCTTTCATGTATTGACACTGGAAGTTTTTGATCTTTACATTAACTTTCAAGATTTTTTTTTTTTTTTAAATCTTGCTCAGTTAAAGCCCCAAGAGCAATGTCTTCCTTTCGTCTTGCCTTCTTCAAAACAACTGCACTTGGCTCCTGTTATATTAAAATCCATAACAGAACTGCATAGCATAACTAAAACTATTTTAGAAAAGATTCTACCACTGGGGATCAACTTCAGCAGTGTTTTTCTGTTAGTAATTCATACATTTTACAACAGGCAATTGTTTGTTAAGTTTGTTTGCATACCAGAAAGACTAACATTCCTTAAAGCTACTCCATTTCCCTTGTCTTTTATTTTTGTATTACTACTATTGCACCTTAAGCCCAATGGTTTCTGTCGTAATTATAATCACTAGATAAAATATGGCTATTCCAAGTATGTTTGATGAAGTCAAGCGGTAGAATGAAGACATGCATTCAAAGAAATGCAAAGTAATAACTTAAAATTAACAAACTTGGAAACTTTATTTTTTACAGTCTGAGAAAAGTAAGCCCAAGGCACACATTTTTAATTTATGAAATTCATTGAGGCTGGAAAGACATTCAACATGATTTCTCTCCTGATGCCACATAATCTCCAGGTGCTCAACCCCCTTCAAACTACAACTCCAAGGTTTCCAGTGTGCCATACGCCCCAGGCTTGGAAATATCTGAGTAAATTGGGCATACTCTAGAGATGAGCTTGCACATCAAGTTAACTGTAAGGTTTCATTATTTTTTTGTGCCTAACTTGTCTTTGCTCAATTGCTTCCCATGCCTGCAGCCTTTGCTTCAGTTCTGCAAAGCTGACATACTTATCTATGGCTTTTTAAAACATATATATTTTAACCAGGAGAGGGAAAAAGTCATCTAGGAATTAGTCCCTGGTTTCTAATATTCTCAAAAGACAACTGTGCAAAATGTCACAGAGATGTTGTAGTGTGTTTTCTGCCTAAGAATATGGAGGAGAATGACAAGAAAATAGTGCTCAAACTCATAAAGTTCTCATGTGACTGATGTACAAAAAGATTTGATCCCTTGCCTTTTGTCAGGGGATATATTCATAGGAAGAACTGTAGGACTGAACAGAAGGTTTAGGAGTTCAAATAAAAATGCTGTGGACTTGGCAGAAATACAGGTTCAGACTGAAACTCTGTTAACTGCCAAATCATGTGAAAATAAAATCATATACATGCTCCTTTTCAGCAAAATAAACTGGGGTTTCATCTGTGATCTAAGGTGCAGCTTAGTGAGGTGCTCAGAACCCTCAAATAAACCTTTGACTAGGTAGCTCATCAGACTCACATGGCTAAAGCATACCAGCTTCTGTAACTAGCAGCACACCATTGATATTTTCAGCATCATATATTTGCTGGTTGACAGATGAAGTTCACAAAAGTACATAAGCAACAGTATGAATATGAGCAACAGTAGAGTTAGAAAAAGTGGGATTCCCTACACTATTCTCTTACTCCATATTTACTCAAGTAAACAAGGAATACTCTCCTATCGACTTTTTATATCGCCTACCCACAGGAAGGCGATAGGGAAGGAAAGAAAGGGATGGGAAAAGACTCAGTGGGCATTACTGCCTTATGTCTTAAGAGATGGCCTTAAAATGCTGTTCAAAATATACCTCATTCACATCGCTAGGTCTACACATTTAATTAATTTTGGAAGTCGTAGGAAGTGGGAAGATTGTTCTTTCAATTGCTTGCTTTCAATTCCCTTATATATAGTTAATTGTTTAGCAGATGTATTTCTTTTCTTTGGCTTTTGAGGTGCCAATCTATAACATGTTTTCTAATTTGAACTTTTTTTAAAAAAATCAGTTTTATTTGTTCTATAATTTCCTTTTTTTTGTAGGATTTTTTCTATTTGTTATCCATGTTTAATTTGTAAATGTCTCCAACTTAATAACTGAGCTGCTAGAAGCTGTTTACTGCCCAATTCTGGTAAGAAACAGTGGCCTCTTAAGAGGCCTTACTAAAAGAATACAAAGATAAAATAACACACGCAGTCTGTTCATTATTGATACATTAGGACAAAATACTAAAAATTTCATAAAATAAAAAAAAAAATGGAAACAACTCAAAGTCATTCAAAGATATAGTTGGAGAGTTTAATCATTTTGTCTCTAATTGCTGTGAACCTCCTCTTGTGGTTGACCAGATCCTATTGAAGCAGAGAATGTAGTTCCTGGAGGGTAGCATGCTTCCTCTTTGTTTAGGAGTGTAGACTGCATGTACGCCATCCAAGCTTCAAAAACAGAGAACAGAACCAGGAGTCACTTTCTTCTCCAAGCACATTTCAAATTTTAAAAACTCATAGCTTAGCAGACATGTCTCAGGTAGTATAGCAACATAAGCATCCAATAGCACTATCCCAATAGTTGTCTTGCCTGTAGCAAACTGCCCAGTTATGGCTTAGTAGAAATAAGCGCTTGTGACTGCACCTTGTGGTGGCTACCCATTCCTTTATTGTTGATTTCCCTAACACTGTCATTAGAAGATCTATGTAAGTTTTTTGTTTAGATGGATCTGCTTCTTCACACAGAAATTCTGTGTGATCATTGTGTGCTTGTAGAAATAGTATATCCTTCTACCCCATGCCAGCTTTGCAGAAATGCCACTTTGCAGCAGCTACTAGAAAGGGAGAGCAATGGGAATCCACATCACTGGAAACTTACTATACATGCTTTTGCTTCCACAGCAGTAAGCCTGGCAGTTTGTGGCTGTGACCTTGCTGGATGTATTAACTTTCCCTTGACCTCCATCCCAGAAGCCCAGAAGCAACCAAATCCTCTCATACCGTCTTCCCATTTCCTTCATGCTACTATGACCATTCCAAACTGAGCAGTACAGCTTTGAAATGACTCAGGGTTTGTGACTGGAATTTCAGAGGACAAAAATATATCAAGTACAAACTCATTAGCAGTAAGCTTCCCCCTTCATTATGTGTATAACCACACCTTGGAAATAGGACTCGAAACTAAACACATTTCACAAGGGTTACATAATGCTATAGAAATAGGGAGAAAGAAAGGTCTGAGTTTGGGATAGTTTCAAGTGATTTTGTATCCATACTAAACCATTAGGATAGACAAGCTTTTTTATTAAGGTCCCTATTAGTCTCCATTTTGTAATGACTCATGATTGAAGTAGAGTTATTTAAATAAAGAGGTATTAGTTTCTGGTCCTTCCCATGATTTTCAGATACTTGAAGAGGCTGAGCACCGGAGAAAATGTTTTGAAAACATCTTTCGTTTCTAGAGCATCCTAAATTTAAATTGGGGGAATTATATAATGGTAACTTTACGAAAAGTATGCAAAGTTATTTTTGCATTATAAGAGCTAGGTATACTTCTATCCTTTCTGTAGTCCTAGCATTAGTTGGAGGAATGAAAGACAAGATGTGCAGAGATCTTCCCCACGAAAAACACGTACACAAATAACAAAAGCAAAACCCAAGAAGATTTATAAACCTAATCAGTTTTTTTAAAAAAATCATTACTGAGCATAACTAAATTTCCTCCTCCATACGCATTATGTTTTTAAATTTCAACCTTTTTACAAATAATTTTCAAGTAGGTGTATGTAGGAGTAAAATAAGTTTGCATTTGACTGCATATGCCTAGCAGCAGCAGGAAATTATTTAGTTTAACTAATCTGCTAATTACCTGCAAAAATAATAAAACTAATGCATTTGAAATACAAATTCTCCAAAATTGTCTTCTGGGATTTAGGCTAGTTATAGGCTTATTAACATTTTTCTTCAGTCTCATAAGATTAAGGCAAAAAGTAAGAAGAAGAAATCAGTAAAACCAAAAGTTTCTCAGCCATATGTTGGACTTGTTTTGGACTTGTTCTGTCAAATTATTAATAATTCTCTGCCTTCTTGCTCCCTTCCTCCCTGTTTCTTCAGTAA